ATGGCGTTCCACTGTTTGAATACATGAACTAACACGGAGACAATGGTGGTCAGCCGAGGAATGCGACTTGTACAGACAGGCAGCATTTCAGACCCAGGAGCTGTTTACTGGATGCCAGTCAAATGTTTGCAATTAGCTTCCTAACGAGGTCATTCGAGGTGTGTCAGACCACAGAATTAGATATAACATGTGCACAATGAGATATGAATAATTAGGGTTTTCCTATTAGGACCTGCTATTCTCAGAGTCTTGGGTGTGACCTGGCGTCTGCGAAGACTTATTGTCAGTCGTGGTTTGTTTGTCCTCCCTACAAGGTCTCAGAATAGACCGAACACATTTATTTTCTTGTCACTGAGGTCTATTCTTGCTAATCAAACCATCTTATACGGCGTCCGTAACATTCAGTTCTCCGCAATAAACACTTTTAAATATTTAGCCCCCATAAACAACATGTGAGGTAGTGTCATGAGCATCTAAACATATCTGTGCTTTTAAAATTAGTCGTGGTCGGAGGAGGAAATCATTGTTTCCGAGTGTGACAGACGTCATTATTTACAGCGAGACTGACTGACAGGAGAACAGTGGAGTCGGTTCACGGTCTTTGTGGAGACGGAACATTTCCTGGGAGGAGGTCGGACGTCACATCGGTGTGAACCCGGCCTCAGCGACAACATGCGCTTTGTGTCGTACAGATTACCTTAATGTCAGGCTTTACAGTCAGAGTAGCCCTGGATTAAACACAAGACAACTACACAATAAAAGATCTTAGGACGATAAAACAACCAAGTGCTTCAGCTGTGAGTCCGTATCGTGCTGCGTATTGTGTCGTGTAATCTTCACCGGAACATGTTTTATTAACACGCTTGTGTTCTCAACAAAACAGGGAGTTTGTCTCTGAGCAAAGCCGCGTTTCACACACTTGTCTTCTCCGCTGTTTAAATTAGGTCAAAACGAACTAGGCAACATCTCCAGATATCTCAATCCTGAAAGCACAGCAGGGTCACAACGCCGGCTCTGAGTGGAAAGAATCTGATGAGAGAAGAATGCAGTGATATTGAAACTCGGAGATACTGTGGAACCTGTTTGGGCCTAAAATAAACAACCTGACAGCGTCCCCTCATGCCTCCTGTCAGCCAACAAAAGCCTCTATTTGTAACTCAGGTGTGACTATTGTTTATCATCTTATTATTCTGCGCGAGTTCAAAGCAGGTTCGTGAGAAAATGTGTTTCCGACGATGGCGACACGCTTGCTGGGAAGCTAAAAACGGGATTCTACATATTTGTTTTGATGTGTTTGCGCCGAGGAGCTGGTCTTATCGCTTCCTCTTTACTTTCATTTCCTTTGCTTACTTTGGAGCTCAAAGTTGCGTTAGAGGCTGTTACATTAGTACAACCGACGGGTCATTTCTCCGGCTCAGAGAGCGGATAGGTTAGTAAATGTGAGCACGCTTGTCAGGGCTCGACTCCATTCGCAGGTGCTGATGCTGCTGAAAGGTGCTAATAGGCCCGAAGAAAATGGCAGCGCTTATCAACAAATCATAAAATTACTTGAAATAAGGCACGCGGAGAGGTGGTGGTGGTGGTGGTGGTGTGTGGTCCTGCTGATGATTTAAAATAGGCTGGTAATGATGTGAGGACATGTATTTTTGACAAGCCGCTAAACAGTGAGAGTAATGATCTGCAGCCCCTGGCTTTTAAAACCCACGTGGACCAGCTGGTGGGGATGATTGTGGACCGCTCCCTCGTCTTATCTACACTTTGCACTGCAGAACCCCCCTTCTGTGTGTGTGTGTTTGCATGTGTGTGTGTGGACATCTCCAGCAGAGCTCTTTCAGTGCCGGACCTGCAGACATTACAAAGCGCTGCACAATAAACCTGCAGCACTTAACCGCATAAACGCCGGCGATGGAGGCTGCAGAAGGAGAGAGGGAAGGAAACGCCGGCAACAAGAGGGAGAGAAGTGAGAGCGAGAGGGGGAGAGATGTGAGATAAACTCATTATGTGCAATGAACAAAGTAATCCCAGCACCAGTGAAAAGCCAACCTTCATTAATAGTAATGCAAATTGGATTTAAATTAGATTTTAGATTACATTTCACTTTCTGAAATTAGATTTTTCTTCCCTAAAAATGGCACAGTGAGGTCACGTTTTACCAGGGTGAATAGTTCTCGTGTGAGACAATCGAAATAAAGAATTAAGTCGTGTTTCGATTGAATAGAAAGCGATGTAGCGTCGTCATAATGCTGCATTAACACATGACGGCCACCTCTGGTTAAAATCTAGTTTTTTTTATCTTGTTAACGTGTCCATCTGGTGAATTTTGTACGCTGGGAGAAACATCTGGAGTTAAATCAGCAGTCAGCACCTTAAAACTGCAAAAACGTGAAAATAGTTTACCGTGTTGGAGTAGTGGGTGAGCTGGTGTGCTTGAAGTGCAGCAGGGTTTGAGTGGAGAGAGAAGCAGGAACAACAGCGTCGAATCACATCTAATCCGTTTTATTTATCTGATAGGGGTTATTTGATGTTAAAAAAATTCACAGAGAAACAAAAAGGAACATTTTCACCTTTGTGCAGGTGTACCAAACATTTTTTATTTGTCTGGTTAGCAAACTGGCCAGTGGTGTTGACAACATGTTTTTGAATTTATTAAATTACATAATATGGTTGGTTTGTGTTTTCTTAAGCACCGTGATGGTACACATTAAAAAAATTAATCTATTTCATCATCTGTTCTTCATAAGAAATAAGTACGTCCACAGAAAGTGCTTTTAATCAGAGTAAAACATGCCTTGATGTATTTTTTATGTGCATGTCGCTGCTGCTGTTTATAGGTTTTGTTTATTTCAGCTTTTTTGCAATTTTTTTATTAACATTTTTCCAATGAAAGAAGTCCCAGAGCATCACAGCATCGCTCTATGATCATGCACAATATTCATTTGTTAAGCAGCAGATCCTGGACTCTGGGTGTTGCTCTTCACAGCTTCACTACCTGCCTGGACTTATTTCATTCAAATACCTCCAACAGAGTTATATAAGATGATTGCTTTTGCATTTCATTAGGTAACACTTTGCTCAAAACAGGGTTTCAAAAGCACGTCCTTTTTTTTTCTTTCTCACACCAACATATCACAGGTCCACAACTACAGTTCTGCTCTAATCTGATTGCTGTCCCTTATCCTGTTGTTTGGCCTCAGCAGCTGTGGGCCTGTGATGCCTGTATCTTATATAACTCTCCCTCCTCGCTCCTCATCTCCTCCCCTCCTCGCTGTATGTTTATGCTGATGATGTGTCAAAACAGTCCAGCCTGCTCACCGCTGTCAGACGCTAACACCGCTGCCCTTTCTGCTCTGCAAAGACACAAAACTCAGTCTGAGCGCATTAAAGATTCAGCTCTGTTTTGGGTTGGCCCTCCTCATAAATATTGACTAAAAGCCCCGAGAGCGAGTCCTGGTCGTCCAGCGAGCACTGGGGCGGTTAGGTGAACACGTTTTTAAGCGCTTGTGTTTCTTTCACGGAGACATAAGTTCCCTTGTAAGAAATTAAGTTGGAGGAATTATTTATGGGCGCAGAGCCACCAAGGTCCTCTCCCTAAGTGGGGAAGAATCAGGGCTGCTGTGTGATGTAGTGTTATTAATTATCTGGCATCCGGTTAGTTTCATAGTGATCCCAGCTGTGATATATTAACCCTCTGAACTCCCGTCACATGTTTTCGTCAGTTCAGAGTCCTGCACCTCTATGGAAACAGCACAGCCATGACTGGAAGCAGACAGAACTCAGATATGGCTTTCTGATTTTTATTATTAACTAAAAGAAAAAGGAAAAGATGAAAGTCGACTTTCTGTAATTATTAATTTTACAATAATAGAAACAAACCTGGAATCTGCACAGTTTTTCAAATGTTCAAAGATGTTAACAGGGCTTGAAATAGAAATGACACCTGCTCGTATTATATGAAAGATATTTTGCTATTTACATTTTTCGTTGGCTCTGTGATAGACTGGTTACCTGTCCAGGTGAACCTGCCTTCACCCTGAGTCAGCTGGGATAGACTCCAGCCCCCCCCCACCACCCTAGTGAGGATTAATCGATGTATAGATAATGGATGGATGGATTTTTCATTTGTTTTTATACATGTCTCGTCTCTGCTCTGTGAAAACACAGCCTGCAGTTCATCCCAGTAGAAGAAGTCACCATCGGTCACTGTACTCACATTCATGCTGAGGAACACATAATGAGACATTTATAATAAACAGATTTAATGAAATATCACAGTTTCAGATTTGGTTCAGTTTCCTGATGTGCTGCAACACATTAAACAACGAGGAGCTCAAGGACGGTGGGAATATTGAAAACCTCCCAGTTCTGTTTTTTTTTCCAGCTTCTTGCTCTGATAAATTCTGTAATTTCGCCCGTTTTTAAAAGACAACATGCCCTTGAAGGCCTCTGACAGGTTAAACCCTGACATGGTTTGTTATTTATTTCTCCTCCGCTTCCTTTTTGATTTGTCTGATCGTATCTCATCCTATCGGCTCCATCTTCTCTCTCCGACTCTTAGGAACTACTGTATCGGGCTGTAATCCAAACTGTAGCTTTAAGTGCTTTGGAGTGCCGTTGCCCCTCCCGTGTCTCTGCACAAATTGAATCTTGTACAGCTTTTCTCAGTGACATTTACCAGTGCTCTATCATCTGTATTTAATATTCTTTTGCCGGGTTTCTTGTAGTCAGTGTATAGGTGAGGTATAATGGAAACCTAATTGGTCGGAGTGGAGACGTCCTCTGGCAGTCCTTCACTGTGTCTCTGGCTGACTCGTATCACACAGTTGATCTGGACAGGTCTTGACTTAATAGCTGAAATACTTGGCTCGGTCCGACTGGAAGTGCAATGAGTCAACACATTGTAGTTCAAATAATGAAATCCACATGAATGTACACGTCTGCATCAAGTGTTTTCTGTCAGTGAATCCAAAGTAACATTTTCTCTCTTTTTTCCCTCCACAGTCTTCATCTGTAGCTTCATGGTAGCAGCTCCCATCTTTGGTTACCTGGGCGACCGCTTCAACAGAAAGGTCATCCTGAGCTGTGGCATTTTCTTCTGGTCCATTGTTACTCTGCTGAGCTCCTTCATCAGTAAAGAGGTACGACAAAGCTCCGGCTCTGACGCCGACTGTCCAACAGCTGCAGTGTTTTTTTCTATTAGGCTGCTCCCCCTATACGCTGACGAGCTAATTATTCTGTTATGATATGCTCGATGTTAAGGCAAGTGAAATGAAATGACACGCTCGTTAAGTCAGACAGCCGCTTTGCCTTTGTAGACGTTCTTTATGTCTCCTTCCCTGCCCCTCGTTCTCTCTCTCTCTCTCACTGGCTCTCAGCCAATCAACTAATGAAGGCCCATGCCTCACAGTTGTCTCAATTACAATACTTTAGAAGATAAGACTCTGTTGTTTCCCTGCCCCTTGACAAGTGGATTTAGATTTGATATCTCTAAAAGCTCCTGTGTGGTAGGAGGTGTTGCATGCATTAAGCAATAGCATTATTCTGGCGGGCGTCGGTGTGGGGGACGGGGTATCCCGCTGAGTGCAGACAGCATATTACAGTAAAAGCCTCTGCTCGTGGACGTGTGCGAGTATATGTGGGGGTGTGCAGACCTCATTATACAGACTTGACGGACATTTGTAATAGAAATCTAACAGAATGACAATCTGAGGTCTCTCTCCACTGGCAGGGATCTGTGGCATTAAAAGCTCCGTGAGTGAAATTTATGCAGCACATGGCATGTCTGCAGAGCAGCATCATGGAGTCCCGCAGTGTGGCGTCTCCAGTGAGTAAGCCTGTTCACTGCCATGGCTTTGCAGCCCTGAGCTGTGGAAGGGAGTGACAGCTCGGAGATGTTGACGGTCCCAGGAGGGCGTCCTTTGACTTAAATCCCCTATAGACTCGCCTGCTGAGAGACAAGATTGCAGCCATTTGCCTAAGCAGGAAGTACATTCAGGCTGCCTATGGATAAGCTAAAATTAAGGTCCTCTTCCCCTCTGACAAATGGCAGAGAGGCCGCTGACTGCTGATGAGGAGACGGAGATGATCCTCAGCGACCGCCGTCCTTTGCCCTGCACTTTAACTGCAGCCTTCAGACGTATTCCTGAGTGTGCCAATCAAACGAGACGAGAGTAGATGGTGGTTATGTAACAGCAGTACGGCGCTGTCGCCATGAGAGATGAAAGACATGACATGTAGTGAAATGTTAATGACCACTTACAACTGAGTCCTATCATTACGCATTTAAGACACTCTGGGCCATTCGGGGAGGATTCACAGCACATCCTCAGTTCAGGTCTTACGTAATAAAAACTTTTTCTGCATGACCACATCAAACTGTCGTCACTAAATCACAACTTGTAGGTAATTTGAAATTTGAGACGTGCTAGTGGCTCATTGCACCTGACTGTAAACAGAAAACCCAAATGTCTCATGATGCAGCAGACTCTCTGATTTATGTCAGCAGTTTCTTCTATGTCCAGGTTCGTCTCTATTTATACCTGTTTCTGATGAACGGCGTGACTCATTTCATTCAGTCTTATCTCATAAATATAGGGAGTGTGACAGCAGGATAATGAGTCCTGGCTGCACGGACAGATGAGCTGTTATTCTTTATCGGACAATTCATCATTCGCTGGTGATTATTATCTTTATAGCCGGACGATTTGATCGCTACCACCGGCGTAAATGTCAAACAGTGTCACACCTCTGAAAGTAGTCCCAGATGCATGAGTCAGAAAAAGCAAAGGCAAAAGTCCACTTGTAGTCGCTTGAGAACAAACACACTCCCAAGACAGGCAGACAAGGACAATGGGATCAAGCAGAAATCAAATTCCAGGTTAGCGAGCAGAGGTCAAAAACAGGCGAGAACAAAAGGACTAAGGCCCAGTCCAGACCTCCACCCTGACGCCTTATCACCAAACCCTCGCCGGCTTCACTGGTAAGGGATGGACCGGCTGCAAGGACTCGAAATGGTCACGGAAGGACGTGAGCAGCAGCATGTTATGTAGCCCTGATGATCCCATAACATGCTCTGTGCTACATTTCTTTTAAAACTTTTTCTACATCTGAAGAATTTTAGGGCAACTTCAGCAAGTTTAATGATCTTATGCAAATTTCTTTTTTCTTGTAACGTTCGGGTTGGTTTCCCTTATTTTAATACTTGCTTGGGAACTTTGAGTAATGCCCTCAGGAAAGGTGGACTTACAGAAAGTGTGCATAAAGGACTGAAACTTTTTTGCGAGACATTCCTCTTGAACTTGACAGTGTGACAGCTGTAAGCCCACTCAGACATATCTGCCCCAGATATGTAAAGCTGAGAGTGTGGACACTGGGATCGGACCGCCGGATGGCTGGACAGCTCATTAATGGTAGAACGGTGGCGTGAATACCGAGCACGCTGATGAGTGAAATAGATGCAGGTGAGCAGAAGGACGGCGAAGATCAGATGATGCAACCGGTGGGAAACCGAGACAAGACGGCGGCGGGAGAAGCAGGAAAACAGGCAGAAAACAGAATGAATACTAAGATAAACACGCCGTCAGATTGTGTCTGTCAGCAGCCGTCAGGATCACGTTCTTCTCCAAACGTGAAGTCTGATGCAGGTGAAGGTTTCTCTGCTGATCTGTTGTGTTCTGTCCAGGATCAGAACAATAATCTTTTCACCAAACTAAATGATACCAGGATCAATGGACGGCAAATAAGTTTATAATGAGACATGTGTTTGGAATAAAAGCTACAATTTGTATTGAAGAAACGTGAATATTTTCATTTTAAACAATAAATAAATTAACTGTAACTTTGCTAATATAATAATAGTAATTTGTTTCTGAAGTTACAATACTTGCATTACTACTAATGTTGGTAGGATGAGGGTCAATGTGAGTAGCATAAATGAGTAAAGCACCTCTTTGTGTGAACTGCTGTACGTCCTCTAACAGGAGCGTAAACATGTTTCTGACACAAAGCTTCAATTAGAACTTTATGAAAACAGCTGTTATGGAAGCACTGTTGTATTAGACTGTGTTAGGTTGAGCTACGTAGAAAAAACAGGCAGCTGAGAGCGTAGATATGTATAATAAAGGCTGATGTCTCGTCCGCGCTGCCGGCCAATGGGATCGCACGGCCACACTGGCGGCCATCTTGGTACAGTCAGCTCACTCACCCATAACATTGTGTTGTAGTGGTGCATGTACTTTTTAAATAACCATAACTTGCTCAATTTTCTACCGATTTTCAAATGGTTTGGTTTGTAATGAACGTCAGAGGTGCAGTTATAACAATTGGTATTTTAATTATTGTGTATTTTATTTGTATTTTTGTAATTTGAATTGTAGCCACGTTAATAACGTTTCTATGAAACCAAACCGTTTGTAAATCCGTCAAGATTCCAGCGAGATCAGAGTATTTACGTTTGTGCAGATCGCTCACCTTCCTTCACGTACCACAGGTTCCACCAGAGAGCTGCCCCGAATCAAGATGGCCGAAGGGTGATCCCGTTTGAAACGCCGCCTTAAGACGTCTAGCCTTTATTATACAGATCTATGGCTGAGAGTTTGTATGATGTGAAAACTGTCACTTCCACAAATATTTAACTTAATGACTCTCGACCTTCTTCAGGGTTAAGGTTCCTCCACACTCCAGTGACTCTCACATACAGAAAGAGGCCGAGGCAGCATGTAAATGCAGACTTGTTAAATTTAATGTCATTCAAAAGAAGCAAAGAATTCTGCTTCACTGCTGTCAGGCTCAGCAGTCGCTGTCCAGCTTCATCTTCTTTCAGGGAACTCATGAATTCTATTTGTGAAGCAGAAGTGGGCGGTGAATGAGGCAGCACCTTCCTGCAATGTAATAATGTATGTCTGAAAACGAAGGAGGGATGAATATCTGACCTGAAAAGTCTCATCAGTGTGTCACACAATACATGGTAATAATAATAACTGTGTGTCCTAATAAATAAATATCTGTTTTTGATGTACACGATAAGAAACTATCTACGTGCATTAAGATATGTAAAACCAATTATTAAATATGCCGTATCTAAAACATGAATTCTGAATATATGAATATGATGATAGTAGTTGGTATTTGCCAGGTGTTTTAGTTGATAATTACCCAGTGATGCCAAGCTACCAGGTTAAAATATGATAATGAACGTGCTGAACGTGTAGCAGCTAAACATTTGTCCTTTTAACACGCTCACATTAGCATTTAGCTCATTGCACCCTGGTGCACTAAGTACACGTCTTCCCTGAAAACAGATTGAAAACAGCTGACAAGTGTAGATTTTCCTTAACGTGTCTTTTATCTCTTTGTAGTCTTCAATCAGCTTTTACAGTTTCTAAACCAAATTTTTGTGGTGCCTCCTTGGCCTCGCTGCTTGGAGCTTTTTTTGTTGTTGACACTGCTTAGTAGCAATTCAGCTCCGAGCGGTGATGATAGTCCGGCGACCGCACACGCAAAAAGATCTGCCATCATGATCCCACTAAACAGCAGGCCATGAAAGGCAGAAAATAGACCGTCTGTGAATCATCTGAACAATGTGACAAACACAAAGACGGAAAGCAGTGAAAGCTCAGCTGGTGATCGATCATAAACACGATAGTAATGCTGAAGGAACAGTACGGGCCGACTGTAAACACGTTATTGACAATAATATGGGAGGATTCCACAGCAGAGAGGCTGTTGTTTTTTTGGGATGCATCCCCTGAGTGTCGTTTTACAGCGAGGTGTGTGTGCTGCAGTCTCCGGAGGATGTTTGATGGCTTTGTGCGTGACCTCGTGACACGACGTCCCATCCACCAGCACAAAGCCCGGAGTGACGGCTGAGAGCTCGGGTCAGCGCCGGGTTGCCGTCTTCGCTCTACCTACAGCCTTCATTAATCTCTTTTGTCAGAGTGCAGCCTTATCACGCTCACACACACACGCCACCGACTCAGGACGGCCCACGACGCTCATGCATATGTTTAAGGAGGAAATAAAAAGGTATTCCACATAATGTAAAGCTTGTGACCCGATAAGGAGGAAAACTCTCACAATGTCAGCGAGTCCACACAACTCATTTTTCTCATTGGACTACCAGAGGCAATTTATCTGCCAATGCTTGCGTCATCCCACTGTGTGGGGGAACCAGATTTCTTTGCAGCTTCGCGAGCAGAACACGGGAGTCCGTATCTAGTGAGTAGTGGTTGCCATGGAAACAGTTAACAATCCAGCTGCCTACACAGGTGCCTCTGCCAGCGCACAAGCTCCTAATAAAGCCTTTTAAGTTTGCATCTTTGTATTTATGGCTTCAGTACGTCTCGTAGAAGATAATATGGAGCGCTAATTCGATAGAGCCGAATCGCATTAGACACGTTAGGGTTTCCTTTGTGCTGACGTCATGCTGTTTCACAACTCCAGGAGTGTTTTATGTTTGTCAGTTAATCAAGATAACCTCCACCGACTCTCTGGAATTCTTCACACTCCCGTGTTTATCCTGGTGTGTTTGTGTGATGAGCACCATGGCGATACTGTCATTTATTCTCAATAATGAAGAAATAGCTGCTGGTAAATTCCAGCATGTGTATTCATCTGTTTTTCAGTCTTGTACGTCAGTTTTGGGAGTGTCCAGAACTGATTATCTGGTCAATAAATATCTTAGAAGAGGTGTGTCTGCCATTTATATATGCCTTGTCATCCACACTAGCACATGTTTATGAAGAACCAACGAGGACTAAATGATCTAGCATTTATTATCGGTATTTACAACTAACTATTGTGAAAACTAAACAAAGAGTTGAGAGGTTCTGGTGTGCTGTGGGGGCATCAAGGTTTTGGTCCTCCTAGAGAAGGTCCCAGCTCACAGCGATGCTCTAAGGGTTCACCTTTTCCCTGTGATGAAACATTTTCATCTTGAGTGATCCCTTCAAGCTTATGGAGAGTTGTCAATCTGTTGTCGCCAGTTACAGATCTTAACCCAGCTGGGAGGTTTTGGAGTGATGTCCACCATCATCATCCCTCCAGTAGATTTCCACAGACTTGCAGAATCAATTTTAAGAAGCACTGATGCTGATCTGGCAGCACTCGGTGGCCCAGTGCTTTACTAGGACTCCTAATGTTGGTTTTTCTCCTGATTTGTTGCCTTTCTGTGTACATAGCCAGTGAAATATCGGTGGATAAAAATGCAGCTGGGTTGACATTACGCTCAGAGCAGAAGTTTCTCTGCAGAGCTGGATGACAAAACTCAGAATCCTCCTTTGTTTCCTTGTCTCTCTGCAGTGCTACTGGCTGTTTGTGCTCTCCAGAGGACTGGTGGGCATCGGAGAGTCCAGCTACTCCTCCATCTCTCCCACCATCATAGGAGACCTGTTCACTAACAACAGCCGCACCATGATGCTCTCCGTCTTCTACCTGGCCATCCCCCTGGGAAGGTAAGAGCCAGCCTGGATTCAAGAAGCAGATATATGATCTGTTTATGAAGCTGTGCTATTAAAACCTTTAATCATTTCATCTACTATGTTCTTCAGGGGCTAAATTGAAAGCAATCAGGAGCATTAGCATAGATAACTGAACCCAACCTCACACTGAGAGGCTATCGAGATCTTTTTTTTTTCTCTCTCTCTCAGAAAGAAAAGCGGAACTTTCAATTGACTGGTGAACCTCACAGGAGGTTTGGAGGCTCTGTCGGAGATGTGCTGTGGGGGTGTGGGAGGTATTATTAAGCCCAAATCTCCAGCCTTCTCAGTTCATTCAATCAGAAAAAGGGCCACAGGGAGAAAACAAACAAAAGCACGTAATAAAAGATGAATGTGGCGGTGATGCGGAGCAGGAGTCACTCGGGGTTTATGGTGATATACAGGTCTGAGCAGCATGTGCCTGAGCTGCTGCGATGTCTTCAGTCCTCGGCATGCTGCAGAGCCTCCGACACTGTAAACATCGCATTAGGTTTCTGTATTTATGTAACCTGCCACTTAAATTTGTTGTTGCGAAAGGAAGCGCAGTGATGGACTGTTATATAAGCAATTTAATGTGCAAATCATATCAGTTTTAATGGCAGATTGGAGACAAATGAGGAAAGGAAGGACTGAAGCGCCCTCTGAGTGCTCCTGTTATGACTCGCCAGCGTGTTTGGGTCGCTGTAAACTGCCCGGCAACACAGACAATGGAAGGTGATAGAGCGGGCCTCAGTTAAACATCCTATCCAGTCCAACGCTTGTTTGTCTTTGCTGAGGTTGTTGTGACCGTTTCCAGGAAATGACCTCAGGAATCAGACCGGACTCGCAGGAAATGGATTCTCCTGCTCTCCAACATTTTCAAACTCGGCCCCGCAGACGTGTTTCTGGTCCGCGCTGGTGTTTGATGCGGGCCTTGTTTTTCATGTTGGAGTTGATTTGTTGGTGTTGAACTTTCCAAACACTCTCTGGGTGGACTCCGATAAGATTAGCTGTTAGTCATCACTGGAATATCATATGCTGTCTGCGCCTGTTTATACTGCTGCACTGTTATTTTTGGAGAACTGACGGTGGAAGCACCAGCGTTTCCCCGTTTGCTGAGTGCATGTGTGTGTGTATAAAACCAGTTAAACATGCCGAGCAGCCAGCGTTGATAAGAACCCACTGAGAAAGTCATTAGTTACATCTGATCATCAATCTAGCGCTCTCATCTCTCATTCTAATGGAAAACAGAATCTTCTGGCCAGAGGCTCTGCACACCAGAAATCTGAGAAGTCAGGAGGTCTGATTGACTTTCACTGAATCACTACAGAGACAGTGTTAAACAAACTGTGGAGAGAAGGTCCAAGTGTGAAAGAAAAACCAACCCGGGTGTTCTGGAAGTGTTCGGGGACTACGCCGCGGTGTCGGTGCTTCTTGGCACAGATTCTAACTTTCTGTAGGAGTCGACTCGTGGCATCAACATCCTTCTTCCAGAAGATATTCCCTCGATTTAAGGCGCTTCCAAACAGATATTTTAGACTGCGCTGTGGGCTGCTGTGGCTCAGGTGGTAGAAAGCGTTGTCCACAAATTGCAGCACTTTTGGGTCGACCTCAGGTCTCTTGGGCAGGAAGTTAAACCCAAATTTGCTCCGCGATGGCAGATGAACACCTGCTTTGTGGTCCAGCTATGTAGTGTTAAGCCAGTCTTTGTCTTATTTACTCTGTTTAGTAGTACGTTGGGGGGTTTCACAAAAATATGGTCTGACTTATGGTGAGTTAGCCACCATACCAGCAGACTAACTATGATCTGAGCTCCACGATTCCATGATAACAATCAGTAAACCCAAAGACTGTGTACAAAATGAACCCTGTACACTCTAAAAACAAAGGTTTGGGCTCAACAAAAACATTACCACAACCCTTTGAGTTCAGACAGCTTCTACTGAAATTATGTTTAAGCAACAGCCTACAGCGAGCTAGGAGGTTAAGCTACAATCAAAGGTCTTATTTATTTACAGTCTTAACCATCTGTTGCAGACGAGGAGGCGACTTAAAGTCCTGAACATAAGGTGAAGAAAAATGTAATTATAGGGCCAATTTCATTAAGTTTCATCAACTTGAATTTAGTTTACACTCACAGAAATCTGCTTTTAAATTACACCCAATGGTAAGTTGATGCAATTACTGATGTTTTTATGTCAACCCAACCCATCAAAGTAATGTTTGTGACTTAAAAGGTTAATCTAAATCAGCAAATTAGATCTTTAATAATGCAGTCATGCCTTTAAATAAGTGGTGGTAGTTGGTTCCTTGACTTACTTTTTAGACTGTATGGAATCACCTAAAATTGTTCCAGTGATGACAGTCTGGGTCGAGACAGCTTTGTGCAGCAGATCAAACTCTTTATGCATTACATTGCTCAAAAGCCACAGCCTCTGTGACAACAGCTGTTTTGATGTTACTGGTAAATATTCAAATAGAAGAACAATGCTGAGAAATCTCTCATTTAAAGTTGAGATGTGGTAACTCTAAAGACCGTCACGTCATTCTGGTTGAATCACTTGTGTTCTATATGGAAGCACCTCCTCTCAAGGATTCTGTCGTCACTGAAGCGATTATAGACAAATATCCAAAACCAACCAGCATTTGTTTAACTTTCTGTTTCGTAGATGATGCCCACATATTCAGCAGCGGCTCAGAGCTGCCTGGCTTTACTATGTGATGCTATCTAGCAGCAGAGACTCATCACAGCCACCCTTAGCTGATCTGATCTGGTCGAGCAACATTTCCCTCAAACATTTCACACCTACTTTACTCTATGGCACATAAAACACCATCGAGCTGAGGTGAACCGCAGTGACATTCACTCGCAGTGACAGCACAGCCTGCAGCCCGACGGCAGCGCGACACTGTGTTCTGTTGGCTCGGTAACTTTGCACCTGCACTTTTGTGACTAAAAGCACAAATATCACACATCCATAAATAGACCCGGCTGGTCAAGTTGCTGCCGGCGCTTTGATCAGTAACGCGTCACAAGTTCTTCTCATGTCAAGTACACAACCACTCAGCTCAGCTTTAATCAGACTACCAACAGGATGTGTGTGGTGTGGGCGTGAGCTTAAGTGATGGAAATGACAGACGGCTCACTCATGACACTGACTCACCTACTTTATATATATAATGTGCGCTGATAGACCTGAGTGGAGCAGGATCAGAGCAACACGTGTGATGTTTGGTGTCGCTAACACACAATGTTTGTGTCTCTCCGCAGTGGGCTGGGCTACATCCTGGGCTCCAGCGCCAAGGTGGCTGCAGGAGACTGGCACTGGGCGCTGAGGGTAAGAGCATCACAGACTCCAACACAAACACACACACACAGACCCACAACAAGCCTCGGCTACATGTTGGAGTTGCGAGGCTTGTTGTGGGTCTGGGGTCAGAGGGGGGTCAGTGGTGGCAGCAGAGGCACATGACTGACTCTGACTCTGACATTACATGGAAGTGACAGAACACAGAGCGGCTGCCTCTCTACAAACATCAGCATCAGCTCTGCCTCCAGCCTCCTTCAGAACAACATGTTTCTCAAAATTTTAACATCAAACGTCTTCAAACCAAAAAGAGTAATATGCTGCAGAGGTTCACTTTGGATTCAGCAGCTGCAGCAAGGAAAGTGGATTTTTATTACAGATCAAGGCTGGTGTTGGCTGCTTCTGTCTCAGCGGCTGTAAACACATTTATCTTTCATTGCTCTTTGCACACGGAGGTCGTCTCCGGTGAGGCAGGATCAATGTCAGCCTCAGTAAAAAAAAAAAAAAAACCCACGGTGTTAGTACTTCCTCAAGTTGTCTTTTTCACTGCAAAACCAAATGTCATTAGTTTCTGCTCTTGTTTTCTTTTTTCTTGAGGCAAACACATGTTCCAGGACACTTGTCGGTGGTGTATTTTATGCTCGGTCAAGCCACATCAATAAAGAACAAAAAAAAAAAAGCTAACGAGGAGCATCTGCTTCAGCAATATTTTCAAAACAGCAATGGAAAGTACAGAGAAATTATAGCATCTGAGCCCTAATAAGAGTTTGAAGGAGCAGGAAACAAATACTGGAAATGGCACCGAAGCTCTTCTGAGAGGAAGTGATTGAGCGGAGGAGCCGGGCTTCACTGTGACCCGGCACAAAGCCACATTTGTTACTACGCTCTCACTCGCAAAATGCCCCGGAGGTGTTCCAAGAGCATTAACCTGGATCCCCTTTAATTAACGGCTAATTTCAACTCTCCAGAGAAATCTGTAGAAATTTGCTGATAGAGTATCGCTAAAAAAATACCCTGAGTGGACTATTTTATTTTATTTTTTTCTTGCGGTAGCTCACTTTAGAGGAGACAGGTGTTAAATCGGGAGCATAAATCACAGTTGCTGTGTTTTTACTGGGACTCCACTCAGCAGTGGAGACAAAACGTAAACTGCTCTATAAGACATACCAGCCGTAGTGAAGAGAACCAATGAAAGCCCGGACACGACTCCCCAGGAACCGCCGACTTCAGGGTCAACTTTTATAATCCTGAAAACAACTTATGACTCTTCTTATGACATTTAAAGGAAGAGCTTCTCTCTGTGGAGCAGATTCCTGGACATGACCGCTCGCTGGGCAGGAACTCCGTTTTTTATAGTCTTGGTGGAGCATTAAAATAAAAAAAAAAATTAAATTAAAAAAAACAAAGAGCGGGGCAGTTTGTTCCAAAGCAGTCACAATGACATTCCAATAAAACAGTCTCAAAGCCAATTAATCATCGGTGTGGCATGCAGAGGAAAACAAATACCAAGACATGAAAGGGCTTCTGTGCGACAGCATCCTGCCTTAAGGAAAAAACACTGCAGCGCTTCCGTTTGTTTTCGCCCGACGTGTTCCAGCCACCTTCCTGAAACTATGGATGGTACGAAGGAACAAGGGAGATGCACAGAAATGAGTAGCAGGAGAGGGCAGCAGCTAATTGATATGATTGCAAACCATGGCTGCAGGAAGTGTGTAATGGGCCCAGTGGGAGTTGGGTTCAGAGGTCGCAGGCTCCTCGTGTCGAGTTGAATGATTATGAAGCTCAAAAAATATTTATTCTCCACCTCAGCGAGACGAACTCTGTCTTCTATCAAGCTGCCTCGCTCTGATTATAAGATTGTGATGTGGACGTCGATCCAATTAAGTCGCTGCACAAGATTGCAGAGAAGACGCGATGTAGGAAAGGAGACGATCGGCGCTGCTGTACACTTCTGAGACCAGAACCACTGCATTGAGCCACATTATCAGTCACGTTATGAGCCACAGCAGACACAGAATCACTCCCTCTGTGAACAACTCAAATTACACACACACACACACACACACAGGAACACAAACGCTGCCTCACACAGTACTTACGCATATAAATGAGCTTTTATGAGCAGCAAAATATAATATGATGAATTTCCCCTGACATATGAAATTGGTTTTGCTTTTGTGTGCAATTTGTATTGTTCAAACAAATCCTCATCCCGTCCTGCCTTTTGTCTCCGTTCACCCCCCACACAGACACACACAGGTGCAAACATGCTACCACATAAAGGTGATGGTGAACATAATGGCAGATGGGCACTCATGAGGTTTTCACCTTGGCGTAGAGCTCACAAAGCAGCTCTCAAAGCCAAAAGGCCCTTTTAGACTCGTGTACGCTTCTGCTCAGAGACAAGCCCACGCCCACACATAAACACACAGTGTGCCAGCAGAGTAAGCAAAGGGAATGTTCTGCGTTTCAGAGGGCTTGTATAGGATGTCAGGCGTAACGCAGCAAACACAGTGGCCATCCATTCAGACTGTAAACACTCGGTTCTTTGTGCTGGGCCTACTGTCTGCCCCCCAGCCGCTCCCTCTGTGATGTGTTAACAAGGATCTGAGCCCTCACAGGTCTCCCTAAACTGCGCTCGGCCTGATTGATTGTCTCATTTCTCGTCCCGTCAGGTGTCCCCACTTTTAGGGATCACAGCGGGAACTCTGATCCTGCTCTTTGTGCCCGAGCCGAAGAGAGGCAGCGCTGACCAGATGGGACGCATCAAGACCCGAACCTCCTGGGTCTGTGACATGAAGGCACTGGCCAAGAAGTAAGAGCCGTGATCAGCTGCAGACAATAGGCCAACGTTTGGGAAGTTGGCTATCAGCCCCGAAACCCATTTTCAATTTTCTCCCAGCAGATCCCTAAGATCCATGCACGATGATAGGGACGCAGTAATTATGAATTCAACCTGGTGAATGGGATCTGGGTGTGGGGTTCAATAAGACCTGCAAGGACTGGCTGATTATTCAAACAGTCTGTGAACTATTGTGATAAACTTTTAAAGACCTGCTCTGGTGAAAACCAAGTTCTCTGCTATGTGAATGTGTCCATACGGAGGTTTTTATAAGATGAGCAAAACAAGCTTTCGATGCTTTCTTTACCGTTATTCTTCTTTGTCCAGTTTGAACATGCATGGCCAAGTTACTCCACTATTACAGCTCACCATTGTCGAGCAGCTTTACAGCGTTTGAGCAGAGTGGTGTGTGAGCTGGTGTGCTCCAGCTGCAGCAACTGGAGATGAGTGAGCTCAGAGCGAGGTTAGAACTTCACCCAAAGATCTGTACCGTCTAACACCAGGAAGCAACAGAGACACATCCAAGCAGTTTTAATGCAGGAGGAGCTTATTTGAATGGAGACTCCTTCTTAATGTGTAACTTTGATTCAGTTTTTCGAGGTTAAATCAACGACAAGGACTTGAAGAGAGTTTTCAAGCAACGGTGCCTTTTGCTAGTTCCAGCTTCTTCACTTGTTGCTTTCCTTATCTTAACATGACGGAAAATTGAATACGTTTGATAACACTACCATCAGCTACAGGCCGTTTAAATTGCCATTTTCTCATGTTTAATAGACCAAGTGTTAATTAAGAAAATAATTGGCAGATTAATCCATAATGAAAATTATCCTAAAGCCTTATTCAAACATGCACGCTTATTTGCACGCGTTCGCTCGTCATTAGCCTTTAATTGCCGCTAGATGCGTGGAAATGTCACCACAAGACACACTGAAGCAGCAGCATCCCGTCTCCAGCAGCCTGCAGTCCTGCTGAGCTGCATCCATGACACTGTAGGCCCTTGTTATTACACAGCCTGCGGGCTTCATTTATTTTAAAAACGTTCTCAACTTTATATAGCGAATGTAGCCGTGCGGATTTATTGGAACAGTCTGAGGTGAGCAACCACATCTCCGGCTCAGTGAGACTTTTAGCAGCACACAGTCTGCCACATTCAGCACCTATGGAAGCACGGAAAACGTGTTATTTTTGTCTCCTGCATCAAACTGCCAGCCTTGGCTGCATGTCGTTTCAGTGTACTTACCAGTTAGTATTAACCTGCTTCAAGCCAAGATAGCAGCCGCCTTGTGCAACCACATACTCTCACAGATTCCTTTTTATCATCTGTTTGCATTCGTTATCGGATGAGCTTTACGAAGAGAAAGAGCAAGTGAAGCGTTGGAAACTCTGCAATAGTTGTTTATTTTTTGTCCTTTATAAGCCGAGATAATCACCTGTTTGCTTTTGTGTTTCTTTGCGGTCAGCCGGAGCTACGTGTTCTCCTCCCTGGCGTCGGCGGCCGTGTCCTTTGCCACAGGTGCGTTTGGTATGTGGATTCCTCTGTACCTGGCCAGAGCCCAGGTGGTGCAGAAGACGGCAGAGGCCTGCACGAAGGAGATCTGCAGCAGCACAGACAGGTGAGAGGCCACCGACTGAACACAGAGCATTGGCTTTGAAGGCACCGCTGCTTCTGTTTAACCTGTGTAACATGAAACCTTTTCAAAGTTACCTGCATCATTTGTGTATAACAGGCAGAAATCTGGATGAACAGGGCTGATCTGGATCTGGGCCATCATAAACTAAAGCGCTGCCGGACGTTTTTTCTTTTCAGCGTTTCAGCACCTTTCATCAATGAGCTTCACCGGAGTGGTTACACGCATTTAAAACTCGCAAATGAAATGCTGCTTCTTTCCCACCAGCCTGATCTTCGGCGCGATCACCTGTGTGACGGGGCTGCTGGGTGTGGTCATAGGAGCCGCCACCACACGACTGTGTCGCCAGAAGACCGAGCGAGCCGACCCGCTGGTGTGCGCCGTCAGCATGCTGGGCTCTGCCATCTTCATCTGCCTCATCTTTGTGGTGGCCAAGAAGAGCATTGTTGGAGCTTACGTAAGGCCCAGTAACCCTCGTATATGTTATGTCTGGAGCTGAGGAAGTTTGATACAGCAGTTATCAGAAGTGTCCCCCCCTGATAAACAGTCATGTTTGTATGTGAATTAAATTAGCCTGAATACAAAGAGAAAGTCTGCTAAGCAATCTGACAAGAGAAAGCTTTGTTGGAGCTCATTGGGCTGTCGTTAACGTTTGAATGAAGCAGCAAGAGGACGCCTCGCCTCATGCCAGCTCCTCTTGGCCTCGGAGGCAGTGAGTGGGTGCTGCTCCTTATTAAGAACAGCTTTAATTGCAGGTTACACTGAGATGGCCTCAGGAGCTGCTGCAGGTAGCTGAGGTTAATACCTCGCCAGGCCAAAAGTTAACAATCTCAGTGCAAACGAGCGTGGAGCTGGTGAGCCTAATTGCCTTGTGAAGCAGGAAAGGGTGCAACTTTACAATCACTGCCCTGAAACAATGCACTGTGGGCTGGTGGGCTGACCGAGCAGTCATTTCTCACTCTTATCAGTGACAAAGGAATAGGAACTGACTCTCAACAAATGGGCCGATAATAATGCTGGAAACCTGGAAAATATTTCCCATGCGTGTAAAGGATCTTAGCAAACATATCCTAAATATGTGACCTTGGCTGGCAGGTCTGCTCTCCTGCTGCATTTTTGAACTTGATCCACTCTGAGTTCTTCACAACATGTTTATGAGGTGGTTTTACAGTAAGTCGTGTTTGAGATGTGGAGCTACCAGAAGCAATAATGCCTGCTCATATACAACCAAAATAGCATTTCTTTTTTTTTTTTTTAAAGAAATATTCATAGAAATTAAAAAGGCTTATTTTAATTAAATATTCTACACGTAAATACACTGCAGGCATCAGACAGCTGCTAAACAACACATCTCCCAAGCGAATGATTTGATTGACTTGATTTAATGAAGTGGGATTTATATGAACTCCTATTAGGTCAAAGACGCATTTATCAGGTGTTGGACAGCAGCATGACTCAGCCAATTAGAGCTGAGCTGCGGAAGTGTCCCTATTAATTACATGAATACAGATCTGTCCAACTCAATTTCATACAGTTGCTGCGTTACAAAAATAGGCTTTACCTTTTTCTCACGGAGTCCAGTGACACCTGGTTTCAATCTCTCTAGAAATCACAGAGATAGAGTTTTTTTTTTTTTTAAGTATTTGTTGTCTGTAAACAGACAAAATCAACAGCCAGCAATAACTGACTGGAAACAAATCAAGAGCAGATTATGGAGGATTTTACGGCCCTCAAACTGGCACCAGGCTCCACTTTGAACACTTCGTCTCTACTGTACAGCATTAAATCATCTTACAGTACGGCAGCAGTTGTAAGTGATCAGCTCAAGTTTCACGGCAAAGAGCTGACAGATGTGTCACATTATAAGGCGTGACGCGGCTGTAGCGGTCGGAGCTGCTCTGTCGAGGCCGATTGACCCCTCGCAGCTGTTGTCCCGTCAACACGTAGCTAATCTGAGGAAAGGCTGGGCTTCGCTCTGCTCCGAGGCAACGTGTCGGTCACGGTGTCTGGTTCGCAGCTCTCAGAACAGACCCGTCTACATCCCCGCTGTCAGGCTCCTCCTGCAGCTCTCTGTACGTTACTGTAGGTCTGGCACTTCAGCAGAAGGGTTATTCCCCAGCAGGAAACACACATCAATCGGCCGTGTTAGACCGCGTTAGATGAAACCAGCAAAACACAGATACACCAGATTCCACTGCAACCAGATCCCTCTGGGTCTGTTTTTGAGAAAGTGGCCGAGCAGCAACACCAGCTGCTGCCAACCTGTGTACATACAGTAGCCCGCATGGACACACACTCCACTTTGTTATTTAAAGTTGCTGCTCCACCCGCTCCTCACATGCAGGACATAAATTCAAATCTTGCAGCTGGACCCATCTTGGCAAGTGTTAGGATGTTTTCCACATCGAAGCTTTGACAAGAATAAAAACAATTCTTATCATCTTGTGCTGCTTTTCAGCTCGTGGGCTAAATACTCGGCTCAGCGGGACCAAAATGAAGGCCTACACATCCACGTATAATTGGGCCCCGGTATAATAACATGTTTCAGAACCACCGCAACCAAAGCGCTTTTTTTTTTTTCCCCAGCCGTGGATTCCCACACGCAGTATCACTAGCGGCAGCCTCCTCTGCTGGCTTCATGTTATTTCACTTGTTTTTGTTCAGCGGCTCGTCATAATGAGCAACGCCGAATGTGAAATTTCTCCCCTCTTTATTTTAGGTTTGCATCTTTATCGGAGAGACGCTGCTTTTCCTGAACTGGGCCATCACAGCAGACATTTTAATGGTAAGCGCTGCAAACCTATACTTATCCTTTTGGGTCACTGGAAATTCCTGCAACAGCAAAGCTATACCAAATGGCGGTCATCCAATTAGACGCAGTTCTGAGTTGGGAAACGTGTGAGTGGACCTCGTAGGCTGCAGCTCGGGTGGGGATGGTAATTGCTGCTTTGACTGATTCATGGAAACAAACAGAGGGGAGCCATTTTTCTCTGTATGTTTTGGTGTTTGGAGGTGAAAACAGGAGCTTCAGTGAGCCACATGAAATTAGACTTCCAGTAAGGTGGGTCTACCAAAAACAGCTCCTTAATTTGTAATTAGGCTGGAGACTGCGGTGAGGATGTGGAGACGCAGTCAGGCCGGTACTGACAGGTCCGCCTGGGGTGTCCTGACCCGATGAGGTGGGCTCTGCGTGCATAATTGACGTCTGCAGGAGCTGTTTTAACTCGGCTGAGTGAGTCTGTCTACCTCTGTTCCTTCATCGCTTTTAAACGTTTTCTTCTTTGCAGTTTGTCGTCATTCCCACGCGGAGGGCCACGGCGGTCGCCTTTCAGAGCTTCACCTCTCATCTCCTGGGCGACGCAGGAAGTCCGTACCTGATAGGCCTGGTGAGTCTCTCCCCACAGCGTCTCCGTCCGCGCACTGATCCGGGCGTGAAAGGGGGAATATATTTAAGATTTAGCCCAGGTCGTAAATCTGGAACGCCCCATTCATGCACACACACACACGACGCATTCAGATACCAGTCAGCTCTCGCTTTAAGTAGGCCAGTGCAAAGTGAGGTACAAGAGGAGCTTTTAGCACACGTCTCAGGAGAGCTGGTGAACAGAGTCGTGATTTCACCACCGCTCTTCAGGCTGTCAGTGGCATTTTCTAGTAAATCTCACGGTTCCCAGGAGGGGCCGGCGTTACGGTGTTTGATTGGTCAAGAGATGAGAGACTGGTCCTTACTGGGACGCCGGGCCTCCCAAGGTCAGAGTCTCCACCCCCCCACCCTTCAAACTGCACTCATACACCCAAAGAATAGCATCCAGGAGGCCAGAATACAAGCGCTGGCTGCTATTCAGTGGAGTGTGAAACAGGATTCACCTCCGACTGTCAAGCAGCATTCTTCTCATTTCAGATGGAGAATGAACGGTTTTGAAGTTCAGTAGTAACTCCATGGAGGCAAACACTCTGTAGACGAGCACGCTGGACGGGCAGCAGAGCAAAGTGGGCTCTTCTGCATAGACACATGGCCGCACTTCATATCACACTTCAAACTTTTTATATCTACATTTATGATGCACTTTGCTGCCAATAAAGCGCAGAGAGAGAAAAGATGGCCTCACCGGTCCGTGTTTGCATTGTGTTTTATTGTCGCGCCTCTGGCTCGCAGCCTAGTCTGTGTTAACAAAAGCCAGAGGAAGTCTTTGATTAGTGAATCAAACTGATCCTGGAGATCCTCTGTCAGGGCCTGACAGGCTGGCAACAGACGCAGCTGTCTGATGAGCTGCTTTGAAACTGTTCTCTTTTTTTTTCTCTCCTTCCTTAAATGGAAATGTTAAACTATTGTCAAAGGCAGATAAAAGAAGCTGCAAGTTACCTACAACTACAAGGCGAGCTCTTCAAAAGACTGATCAGTAAAGAGATCCAGATTCTGGGAATAGGGCTCCGAGGCTGGCACTGTATTGTATCTGCACATCAAATAAAGCATCTTATATTGTACAAACTTCCTACTGACACAAAAAGACAAATAATGCTGTGACTGAGCCTGAGTCTGATGTCAAGGCTTCGTTAGCGCTGTAGCAGTTAGTCAAACCAGAGGAAACCGCTCAAAGGCAATGCTGATTACTGATTAATGGTTTTAGGAATTTATTAAGCAAAGAAATGCCACATTTGCTTGTTCCTCTTTCTCAAATGGGAGAATTATGTGAAGCTTTTCTCTGCTTTCGATCGTTTTTAATCAAGACGTCACGCGAGCTCTGAGAACTTTTTTGCTGTTTTCTGATATTTGATGAACTAAACGATAAATAAGCTCATCAAAAAGATTATTGGTATTTAAATAAGTGATATTTGTGGCGGGCTGCAGGGTGGCGCAGTTGGTAGCACTGTTGCCTCGCAGCTAGAAGGTCGCCGGTTGGCGTCCCGGTGAGGACACCCGGGATCTTCCTGCGTGGAGTCTCCATGTTCTCCCCGTGCAGCGTGGGTTCTCTCCGGGTTCTCCGGCTTCCTCCCACAGTCCAGAAACATGCTGAGGTTAATTGGTGATTGTAAATTGTCCGTAGGTGTGAATGTGGGTGTGCTTGGTTGTCTGTCTCTAAGTGTAGCCCTGTGATAGACTGGTTACCTGTCCAGGTGAACCTGCCTTCACCCTGAGTCAGCTGGGATAGACTCCAGCCCCCCATGACCCTAGTGAGGATTAAGGTGTAGAGATGATGGATGGATGGATATTTGTGGCACTAGTTTGAACCTTGCCTTTGTGAAAAAGGAGAGGTAGTGTTAATAATCAAAGTCTGAGCTCCAAATGTCAGAATAATGCCGACACACAGCGAGACGCTGCCAAACAGCATCAGCCAGACGCAGCCCGTCGGTGAGCCAGTCACCCCGCTCTAATCCGTCCAGCTTCCGGGGTCACGACTCCCCTCTGAGTGACACGCCGAATGTCCGGGGGTTTCTCACTCCTCCACAAACCCCCGGCCGGCGAGGCCCAGAACGCTCCAAGTGCGTCAGAGCTCAGCGCCTCGGTTCCTGAGCTGAGGTTTAGCACGCGAGTGTGATGGACTCGCGGTGACGCACTCGGATCGGCCCATGCAGACCGCCACAAACACTGTGAATGAGCAAAGTAGAGAATCTCCAGAAAAACTCACCAGTTGTTATTGCTAAGCAACCACAAGAGAAAGTGAGCGGGTGAGTCAGTACTTTTGGTTCAGGGTTTCGACATGTGCAACAAACAGAGCTGAAGATGATGAATTGGACACAGAACAACCAGTGTGGCATTTCCAGCACCATAGTCGGTTCTTGTGGGAAGGCCTGCAGATAGAAGCGCCCACATGCCACACAGTTCCTGTTGTGTAAAAACCTGAGCCAAGAGTCGCCTCCATCAGCACGTAGACCGAGGCAGTTGTCACTTAAGAATCTCCTGAGAAACGCATAATGGACTCCTCCTATACTGTATGAGCAGGACATGGCCACAGGCAGAGTGGGTGGCAGGGGAACGCCGGGGACAATCTCGCAGCAATCTTCCAAGAAATGCCTTCTAGCTCGATAATTAGACATGCAGCAGTACTCTGTGTATTTTTAGCTAAGCCGTGCTCTGCAGGTTGCAGGCAATTTGCTGTACCTGACGAAACAGGCTCTGCACTGACCACACACAGCCGCTGGACCGCTTCTGTCACACGTTCACATTTTATATTTTTCTCCCACCGTCCTTCTCTTTCTGTAATCACTCCTCATTACGGTGCACGCTCCTTGCACATGCACGTGACCACACACACACACACACACACACAGTCTCCCTCCAACATCCTTCTGTCAGCAGTTCTCCACCTCTAGAGAATCTGGTTCTTGCTGACGCTAACATGGAATCGATGTGCTTCAGCCAGTGTGACCTATGGTCGCTCAGGCTCACACATAGATGAGAGGCCCCCTGCCTGTTCCTGCTGCTGCGCATACCTCCACACAATCTGCTAAAAGCTACCATCAGCAGCCTCCTTTCCATCACGACTGTCAATACAGCGATCCGTGGCTGTTTGAGAGCTGCCGTATGACTGATGCTGGGAGGCAGGAATGGTCACTTCACACCCACCACGCTCCAGCTGTTGTTTTCCTCAGCGCGACAGACTGAACGCTTTCAACGGCAAGATGAGCGAGTAGCCGTGGAATCCTGCCTCGCTTAAGACAAAAACAGGGCGTCTTGCATCACGCTGTGTGCCGGGCTGATCTGTTGCTATGATGAAACGGGCAGAACTCGCTGCGGTGAAGAGCTTATTGTGAGTGTGCTGGAGCATGACAGGATGTTTGAAGAACTTAAAGCGAATAAAATCTCTCCTCTCTTGTGTTTGTGACTGTGTGTGTGTGTGTGTGTGTGTGTGTGGTGATCCCGGGGTGTCGTTGTGTGTTTGGCCTGGATGCAGATCTCCGACGCCCTTCAGCAGAGCTACGCTACGTCAGCACTATGGCGGTTCCTCAGCCTGGGCTATGCCCTCATGCTCTGTCCCTTCATCATCGTGCTGGGGGGCATGTTTTTCCTGGCCACGGCGCTGTTTTTCCTGGATGACAGGGAGAAGGCCGAGAAACAGTAAGTGACTCAGACATTGTTTGAATAACTCGTCATTATTTCATTTATTATTTAGTCATTCATTCTTTAAATATTTAATATTTACTTGAGTCGTCCTCCGCTGACTTTCTGAGTAAGAGCTCCAAACATCCAAACCACGTCACCTTGGCGCAGGAAGCCGAAGAAGCAGCGATATTGTTGGTGTTATTCTCAGTGCAGTGCAGACAAAAAGAGGTCAGAGACATTTTTTTCTGGACGATGCCGCGAGTTTGACGCAAGTCAGGGACGAGCTGCCCAAGTGATGCCAACAGCGGTGCCAACCCCGCAAGACTTCGAAAGGCCCTCGAGCCAGTAGAAAGTCCCAGTCAGCTAAAAGCGCTCCAGAGCTGACACAAGCTGTTCTAGCCATCAATTTGTTAAAGTGTTCTTACTTAGACTTTTACCAGCTCCCGCCCCTCTCATTCATGCGTTCAGATTTTCCCCTTTCAAACACCAAAGACGTGAACTAGAGGGCACAGGAGCCGGCCATGGCCTTAAAAGGCTAAAACAAACACACTCATCCTCTTTCAGTGGGTGAGACACGACTTCTTGTTTCTCTCTGACTATTTTTTCCTACTTTTTTATCACATTGGCCTACTCCCCTGGTGCCAGCGCTCTCAGAAATGACTTCCTTCCTGCTGAAGATGAGGGACATTTTTAGACAGGATGGCAGTCTGATGTCTGAGGTCTGTCTGCAGCCGCCTTGTCTTCGCCCTGTGGTCATTTCCCACGCCTAAACCCCTCACAAACATTTTTATACAGCTTTGTCGGAATAAGCGTTTTTCTAATCATAGGAAGTGTAAAAATTGCAAAAGAATCCTGTGAACTGCTCCCCCAGTGGCTTCACCTCGTTGTGTAACTCCAGCTTTATCCATATTAGCTGTGTGTTCACATCCCCGCCGTGTAATATTAACAAACAGTCTTGTGCATAGCGACTAGTCGGCCAGGCTGCAGCTTCTGTTGGGTTTCACTTCAAGAAAAAAAAAAAGCAGAACAATGACTAAAAGAGAGATCTTGCCATCGTGCCAGTAATAGATATTCTGTGGTTGAGGCTATCGCACCACATCACTGCACATTGTGGGCAGATGGCACACGTTCACGCAAACTGTATCTGACCACAACCCCTCTGACTTTCACACGACGCGCTGCAGGACAGAGCTGCTCTTCAAAAGTCCAGATATTAAACAGTTACTGGAAAGTCCTTTTCACAAACATACGTAGATGTACAAAGATCAGCATCAGAGGGATTCTGCTTGAGAGCTGAGCTGACAGGGTTTATTAGTCGTATCTAACAAGTCATTTAAGAGCTTTATCAGTCTGTCATAAATCATTTTAATGCTCAATAGATGAGTTGTAAATAAATTCTGAGTCGTTAATAGTTATTAATGAGTTTGCCAGTTTATAATTAGACAAACATTTTGTAATATTAACAAGAAATTTACATCAAACCTGCAGTTATAAATGAGTTATTAACAAAGAGTATTTACAATATTCCCAGTCTGCAATAATAAAGTTCATAAATTAGTTCTGGTCCAGATGCACTGCAGCCAAACGTCGGCTTTCTCATCGACTCAAAGCGTTCATGAATAGTTTATCAATAAAACCATTAGTTGCAACTGAGCCTTTGAATTAAAAACCTCTTATTAGAAAGCAGAGACGACGGAAATATTCAGATCCTTTAGCAAAGTAAAAGTACCAGTGCAGCCGTGTAAAAATACTTCATTAAGAGTAAAAGCGCTGCAAATCCTGCTTCAGTTCAGGTACACAGCAGCAGCAGCAGCATATAGTTCAAGTATTAAAGTAAAAGTCCTGCATTGGTCCTTCTGACTATGTACACACATATATATATATATATACTAGACTATATATTACTGTACTATATATTAGACTATTAGTAGTGAAGCATCAGCGTGTCAGCAGCATGTTTCTGTTGTAGCTGCTGCACTACTTTACATACAGTTTTATATACACCCACACAAATAAACTTTTTCTTGTATTTTAGCAGCTTGTAATATTATCTGCTGTGAAAAATCTTTAAACATCGTGGTGGTGAGAGTCCAGAGTTTCCCTCTGACATGTAGAGGAGTAGAATTATAAAGCAGTACAAGTACAAAGTACTCCAAAGCTGGATTCAGTAAATGTACTGACCTTCCTCCACTGTTAGAAAGTGTTGGCAAACATTTTCTCTGCACTATATTTCAGTGTCATGTGTGATATTTGATGCCACAAAAACACCTCCAGTGATACTTCATGTGTACATTTACTCAAACCATTTATCAGCGGCTCTGTCCCGTCAGAGGAGTTCAACCTAAACAACAGACCAGTTCAGCACCAGCCCTGCATGCCTCTGTGATAGACGGTTAATCATACACCAGGTACAGACTGTATGCACAGCAAACACGCCGCTGCATACATCACGCAGCACAGAGCCTCCACAGAGCTGTACAAATGTGTACTAAACATCCCAACGAAGGGAAAAACTTCAACAGCAGCAGCTCTTATGTAACAAGCAGCAAACAGCAGCTCGGGGACCAAGAAAAATGACAACATGCACAGCTTTGTACGACGAGGGTTATTCCATGACTGTGATATTTATAGATTCCATTCACGCTATAAAGCCCCCAATTTATAAATTCCCCCCGACTTTACGGAGCGCTTTGCATCTTATTTTCTTCTTCCCCTGAGTGTGTCCTCAGATACTCAGTGCTATTTATAAAAGGCACGGAGCCGAACGAGGAGCTCAGCGGAGCGGCCCGTCTATTTCCAGCCTTAAAGAGTGCTTTATTATTTCTAGGTTGTTGGCTTTTTTGGGCTGCAGGGTTGCCATTAATAGCTCGGGTTCAGTGCGTGCCCCATCCCCCCTCCGCCTCACCCCTCCGCCTCACCCCTACGCGCTCACCCCATCCACATTTCCACTCGCTGGATGCAGAACCGTCTCCTCTGCTGTGGCAGCGAGCTTCGACAGCACAGACCCAGTGTGGTGACAAAGTGTGATGGAAAGACAGGAGGAGACGGCTGATGGGCGAAATTAGGAACAAATGTCAAGAAAACAAAGAACTTTAAACACTGAATATCAAACTGTTTTTATGCTCCCATAATTCCTAACACAATCTTTGTCTCTCCAGGCTGAGCCAGCTGACACGGCCGACCTCCGCAGTCAAAGTATGACCAGGTAAATTGCCTTTTCTCCTTTAAAGACACTTTTACGCTCGAGTGCTTCTCACATCAGCAGTTAAAGTGGCTGATAACAACGAGACAGTCCTGGAACATTAACATTTACAGAGCTCTCTTCTCATTACCTGGCAAGCATCGTTCAGAGTGCCTTTCATTAGGCGGCACAGCGATCTGAATACAATGACTTCACAGAGCTGAGCAGACACTTTGACCTGAGGCCGCCCAGAGCGTTATGACAGTGGAGGTGATAAACACGGTGATGCACAAAGGATTGATCTATGATCGGTTTCCGTCTCATTGTGCTCGGGGAGTGCCTGCTCATTCTTGGAGCTGTGGGTTTTTTGACCAACTATCTGGCATCTTATCAAGCCCTGAGCTGCCTTCCCTCCTTCCTGCCTTTATCAGGCTCACACACATGGTGCAAAACCTCTTTAATTATTAACTCAGCAAAAAAAAAAACACACAATAATTGGCAGCCCACCAGCCAACTCTGCACAGTAGGACAATGGGGAGCGTTTGTAGTTGCCAGTAAAGAATAACAAGAATAAACTTTGACTCCTTGACTGGAGCAACAAGGAATCTGCTGTGACTTATTTGTAAAGGTTATCAAGTTTGGGCAAAAGGTCAAGGTTTTACTGCTTTCTTTGTAACCCTGTCTGGGTTTATTTGCACTCTAAACATTTGTCAAAGTACTGTATGCACACAAACTGGAAAAAATAGATCATTATAGCCTGTATGTCTGGGTTTGTGTCCCCTCCTTCCAGTTAGTCTGAAATGGGGAATCAGAAGCAGATCAGCAAAGAGAAATGACTGCATGACAAAAAGAGAATCACTGCCCTCTATGTTTAGTATAGTTCTGTTGCATTGTTTTCTTAAAGAGCCGCTCCAATGAAAAGCTTCTTACCTGCTTAAGAGTCCATGTGGTGCTTTCTATATGCTATAAGACATGTCATCAGTGAAATATTTTTAACATGTTTGTCCCTAGAGTAGTTTGACAGAGTTTGACCAGAGCTGGAGGTGAGCTGGTGTGCTGAGCTGCAGCTTTCTAAAGAAAAACAACCGTGTAGAGTTACATGTAAGCCATTAGAAGGCAGGAAAGGAATATTTTCATTGTGCGTAACTTTGATACGGAGAGAAGATATTTCAGAGGCTGAATCAATGACCGGAGAAGGAATTTAATTTGCACAGGAAAAAGAAGGTCTCACAGGCCCTTTGGCAAATAATCTGATCTGGATTTTACACAATAAAGTTGCACCGGCTTGTGAAAACCGGGAAATTAAGGCGTGTGGGATTTGTGACAGGATGAGCAGAGTTCTGTTCAGGAAACGGTGTGATCGTGGGCCAAAGTGGCAACTCCGTGTAGTATTTGAGAGCAACAGTCGACCGGGTGGAAAGATTGCGTGAAGGTGCAAGTTCATGCAGATGTAGAGAGGAAAACCTCAGCCTCCGGTTGTCTAGAACACCTTCTATACCTAACCGTCCATTTGGTGATTCAGGAGATGTCGTCTCACAATAATCACAATGAGCAGCACACGCAGATGTTGTGAACGCTGTTGTTGCTTCTGCTGTTACTGGACAGGCCAGGTTTACATCTGCAGTGTCACAATATCCCTGATTGTGCCAACAATACGAGCGCTCCAAACACTTAGTGCTTGCAGCTGCATCACCACGTAGCAGCATAACTGTTAGAGCCACAACATGCTCAGTGTGATGGATTACCTCGTACAAGCTACTTTCAGAGCTCTACGTTTGCATGGTGAGCTGATGGATGAGATGCAATGGCTGCCTCGAAGGCAGAAAATCAATCTAAAATAAAAAGTTGTAGTATGCTTTGGAAAACAGTCTGCAGCAAAATACAGAATGTAGAATTTGCATGTAAGTGGCTGCAAGAATGCAAAACCACCAGGACGGCTTTTTACTGCAAGTCATTAAGTGTGGCAGGCCGATATTAGCATGCACAGCTAATGACAGGTGACATGAAAGGCTCCTGCAGGGCTGCTGCACAGATCAGGTTTCAGCCTGAGGGTTCCATCAGTTCACTGTCACACACAGCAGCTAAAGCATTTTGTCCCTGCTGTCAAAGAGGCCTAATTATAGAGAGCAGCGATTACAGCCGCATGAGGTCAGAGTTGAATATGTCTCTGAACTGATCGGTTCTGTCCTGCAACAGAACCACTGACGCATTCTGTGCTGATTGATTTCCAACCAGTTTGTTTTGGGGGATAATCCAATCAGTGACAGGCAATATTTCCTCTCTCGGGTGTGTTTCAGATCAATAGGGTTCTTAGAAGAGCCTCTCTCAGGCCCTCAGGAGGGCTTCACCCTTCACACTGACCACGGTTCCCTCTGACAGGCCTCTGCGAAGGCACAGAGGGACGTGGACGAGAGCTTATATGGTGATTCAGTCACACACTTTGAAAGTTTAAGGAGTGTTTGGCTCTGACAAGAAGTGGAAGTGAATGAGAGGAATGTAGAGGAGGCGAGAAGAGACACTACTGCTGAACAAATGAGGATGAAGAGAAGCAGTAATCGCTTAAGCTGTTATACATCGCAAGCTATTAATCTCCGGCGAAGCAATCCCAGACGGAGATCAGATACGCTGAGATCCAATTAACTTCCTCTGCAGGAGGAGCCGGCCTCTGCTGACCAGGTTCACGCCCCGCCGCAGGAGAACTCGAGGACATCCCCGAGCTCAGAGCTGTCAAAAGATCAGCGTGAGATCTGCCAGCGGAGCTTCACACTCATTTATTCAGTAACCACAATCCCGTAACGCTCAGAAAAAAACTCTGATTTAGTCGCTGCTATCCAAACTCTAACTGTAAGTGTTTATACAGCTGCAGGCACATACTTTCCTTCTTCACGCTCTTATCATTCAGCAGCAGCTCAGAGTCCTCCGTCAGCAGCAGTGAGTGGGCTCATGGTGGTGCAGTAACCTCAGACCACACCAACACACAGTCAGGCTCTGCTGTGGCCTGTACGGCGTTCAGAGAGGCTCTGGTTTCATAATCTGATCAATACCGTGAGTCTTCATGTGTGAATCCAGTCTATAGTAACGTCTGTGCAGCCGAGCTCAGTCATCGTTTGCATCCTCGCAGCCAAAAACCTCGACAAGTTGCTCTGATTAGACTTTGTTCACGAGCCAGACCGATCAGCGCTCGCCTTTGCTCCAGAAGCCAAACGGTGTCCAGCACAGTAACGGAGACGCTGTGAGGGGGCAGCGTTCAGTCCTCTAATTAACTCCGTATCACACTGGCATCTGAACACTTTAGCTTCTCGTTTGGCTCATAAACCGTTATCAGCGTCATCACTAATGGAGGGAAACGGTTCAACCCAGAGAGGACAGGAGCAGAAAAATGAAGGTGCTGACTAGAACCAGAATGAGGAGGTTCTGTAATGAACCGTTTCTGCTAATTGTTCTTTGAAGAACTCCAGAAGTGCCTCCAGCTGCAGTTCCTCTGGACACCAGAGATGGCGCTTCTAAAAGTTCTGGCAAAAAACTGGTTCTTTAAGGAGTCGTTTTCAGGATGTTCAGGATGAACTCTGTTAAATAGTTTGTAAGTTTTTCCTTTGATGGTCTTTGAACATTTTAAATCAAATGATTATGTGCAGATCAAAAAACAGTTTATTAATGTTTCTGTTTAATTAATTCAGGAGCAGACAATGTAATTAAAAAAATGTTCAAAGAACTTATTGATCAGATAGATAGATAGATAGATAGATAGATAGATAGATAGATAGATAGATAGATAGATAGATAGATAGATAGATAGATAGATAGATAGATAGATAGATAGACTTTAATTAACCATCCCCTAAGTGAAGAGCTTTGTCACTTTTTGAAGAGCCACAGAGCCGTTATTTATTCTGAGGGCACAGAACCAGAACACATTGTTTTCACAAACCCACTAATCCTCCTGTTTTAGCTAATTACACCCTTTGGAATGACGTGTTGTGGAGCACATCAGTGTGTCTGCCAGTGTAGTGTGTATATATATATATTTGAGCCACTGGCTGTGTCAGAGCGTCCCTCTGCTGAGCTCCTCTCACTAATCCTATTGTAGCAGCAGTACTGGAGCATCCAGGCCGACGTAGTAACGGACCACAACAAACAGAGAGACGCACCGCCGTGTCGCTCCCTCACCCAATCTGAAGAGATCACAAACGTGGCACCACGAGCTCATGATGGGCTAATCTCCAACTGGGATGTGGTTTCCCCTCTGGCGCCACATCTTCCCGTGTACGAGCATCGTTTGTGTTTGTTTGTGTTTCAGCAGCTGGAAGAAATTTTAAAACTGTCAGAATATGAAACAGTCGCTGGGTGGATAAATAGTCCATTAGAGATGCTCATGCAAGTGTTCAGAGGTCAAGTACACTTTAAATGAGATTTTAAATCTGTCAATAAAAGAAATGTCCTTATCATGGGCTAGATTAGAGCTGAATTTGAGACACACTGAACGGGCTGTACAGTATTTAGAACATGTATTTACGTCGTCTGTGTTCCTGCAGAAACTCGCTGAAAGCCACAACAAACCCTCTCCTTCATTAGTCTGTGTGTATATAAGCTTAATAACATATTTGGCATCTAAACGGAGGCAGACACACAGTAACATCTAATATAAGCTCCATCTGGAGACGCAGCAGCCGTGTGTTGCTGTGGCTTACGGCTCGCTGTCGTACAGATCAGGGGGGTGGGATCTGCCTTAAACAAACTGTAGTGTGTTGGTATGCTGTGTGCAAGAAGATATTTAGGTCACAGGCTGGTCCTGGTGTGCAGGCGTTATCAGGAAGGTCCCACCAGATGGCTCAGGAGCTTTCGACCTCATCGTTAATTACATGAGAAGGTCCTGTGGTGAGGCCAGACTCTAACCCTCTGCTTCCTCCCCCTTCCTCTCTCTTTCTCAGGTGACCAGCACATGAGGGGCCTTCTGAAGGTGCAACCAACCTCAACAAGGATGACAGAATGGTGATTAAAAAGCAAGGGCAGCTTCTTTAGAACCACGCTCATGTCCTCGTCCCCCCGTCATCCCCGCCATGATCATCCTCCTGCTCTTCCTTCTACCCTCTGGCGGAGGCTGCTCAGAACTGGAATGAGGGAGCGTCTTGCCCCTCCTTGAACGCCTCCGAATCGCAGGCCGGTGAGAAGGTGCTCAGCTGTGTGCTGCACCAGCCTCCAGACAGCGAGCATCCTCCTCACCTCTGTCTGCCAGGACCCACTGAACCTTCCAGGGAGGAGGTGGGGTGGACGGATCCGCCGCGACCCCTCCCGACTCCTGATACCATACTACTGAATGCTGACCATGAACCTGCCCTGTCTGTCTGCCTGTCTGTCTCTTACGTGTCTGTCTGTCTCTTACATCGGCTGTCAATCTGCACCAAGTGCCATAGCGTCATTACATTCCTTCAGACTTTGCACTGACCACCAACAACCCTCATGGCTTCATCCCCGGCCATGTTTACATGCACTCCGCGGTTCGGCCTGCAGATGTGACGTGATGAAGCCGTGCATTCGCCTCGTTCAGCAGGTTAAATGCCGCCCAAAGCTTCATCGGTGTCTCTGTTGCGCCTCTGCAGATTTTCCACCCTTCATTCTGCCTGCCTGGCTCTCAGCACTTGGAGCCTGTAAACAGACAGAAGCTGTAAAATTCAAGTTATGTGGAGCAAGTGATGCAACAGCAGCGAGCCGTGCTGGAGGATCAGGCTCTCCAAGTGTTGTTTATTGGTTCAAACAAGCCTCCAGTAATGTGACTAACATCACATTACTCTGCACATCGCCGTGGCAACAACATAAATTATAAACATCAATTAAAGTTTTGTTGTGCATGTAAACATGGCGCCCAGAGCGTCACCATTCAGAGGTCAGTGAATCAGCCTTAAGAATTGGAGCTTTCACATCTACACGTGTTTCCTTTGAGCCCGTCTGTGTTTTTATGTTTAGCTTTTAGCACTTACATGCGTGTAGACAGTGCCACAGAACACGACAGAGATTTCTGCACATTATTTTTCACAAGGATTCTTGTGATTTTTTTTCTTTTTTTCTGTGTATGTTGGATTTGAAACTGGAGGTTGCTGCCTATGATTGTTTCAGAAAGATGAAGATTCAGTCTGGGCGATTTAAAGTGGACACTGGATTATGTATTTATAATTTATTATACACATGCTTTTCCCAAAAGTTAACGATATGCTACTCTTTTGACTTTAGAGGAGCAGCGCCTGTGTTTTTTTTTGTGTACACGAGAAGCAATACGAAACCTTTAGAGGAAACCAACCGTTTTTTTTTTTAATCCACACTGCCTTATCAGTGAGCTGGGCTTCCCTTTAAAGGGGCAGCTCTCTGATGGTTGGTTTTGAATTTCTGCACACAACACCCACACAGAGACGGAGTCACTTTTAATGATGGATTCCAGTCCAGTCCTCGCCGGTTACAATAACAGGCTTTGTGAAAAGAGACCTTTCCCCTTCGCAGTTGTAGATATCCCATTCCATGATTAGAAGAAAGGACCTTTGAAACGAGCCGGAGACGCAGTCGTCAGTTTATTAGTGGGGGGGAATCGGAATCCCAGACAGGAGAGGAAATCCTCCAGCCTCAGGTATGGCTGATGGCGAGCGCTTAGCCTTCTGATAAACGAGGAATTCAGCTTTGAAATCAGCGTGTCCTCAGACATCACAACCAGCCGCCTCCAACACCTGCACCACAAAATGACATAGAGATTTACATAAAAGTCCACCGCAGACCGTAAACAAGGATGTGGACTCATCACTCTATGCATTAATTAGAGCATCAAATTGTCATTATGCAAATTGAATGCAGTCCCCCACAAACAAGAGAAGAAGTCGGCGAGGAGAGCTCCAGCTGACGAAGGTTTAGTCGTTACGAGGATCCTCTCTGTAGAATATCACCCGGTGAATACTGAAACCTTGAAGCCACTAATGGATTCAAAGGTTTTAAAACTCGTGCATAAAGGGAAGAAAAGCACTTTGCAGACCTCCAAGAAAACACAGGAGGAGGAGGAGGAGGAGGAGGATGGACTGACCTTAGCAGAGGAAGGAACAGGAGACGTTGAGGTGGTTCTTGTAGCATGGATGTGTGAGCATGACTCACTGGCTGTGTGTGGGGTGCTGTGTGGGCTGTGTCCTTGCTGCCAGATCATTAGCTTTAGCTTCTCTCCAACTGCGTGGAGCTCTCTGAATGTGATTCTGTCCAACCTGACGTGTTTACACACCTTCATCTTCTTAATGAACTAAGCTTCTTACCTTCCTTTTATCGATTTTACTTTTTTTTTTTTTTTTATTGTTACCAAATGAGTTTTTTAATAACTACAGTAGAGATATATATATATAGCTATATCACGCGGCAACTTTAATATATTGTAAATGATGGCTTGGATGCAATGTATTTATTTGTTTGTTATCATAATGAAGAATAATCTATAAAGGGAAGTTTAAGGTTTGAGTATATTACACTCTGTTGTGTGTCATTGGGTTTTAAATGCCTATTTGTTCATCTTTTTGTATCACAATGAAACAACACAATACCTTTTTACATCACTAAGATTCATCCTGTTTACTGTGATCATGAATTGGACGCGTCTCTCTCACACACATACACAAGAAAACAAACGAGCAGTGTGGTGGTTTATTGGTCTCATTGTGAGGATGCAACACGTTCGTAGCTCATGTATGTGTTTTTCTTTTGTTCTTTTTTTTTAATTTAATTTTTTTAGAACAACTGATCAAACCATTTTGCACACTTAATGTTCAGGGATTGATTTGAACCACGGCCTAGCAGCAGCTTCAGAGCCAGTCTGTCGCTTCATGCTCACAGTAAGTGCTGACACGTCGTCGCCCGCCACCCGAGGAGACGTCGGCTCTGGTCGGATGGGTCATGAATCCAGCATCACTTTGCCAAAATTAAGTTGATTTAGCACCAATCCTTTAGTTTGTCGTATCGAGTAATTCTGTGTTAATAATCACTGAAGTGATGTATTGAGAATGTGCTATTTCTTGTCATACAAGAATCCTGTATAAAGAAACCTATTTCTGATGTTGAGCAGAAAACAGAGGTTATTTTTATTTTTAGAGCAAGTCAATACAAAATAAGTGTCAGAGAAATCAAAGGATATTATTCTAGAACTGAACTGTGATGCTCCCGCGGGGGGTTGATAGAACATGTACATGTCTGTAAATCAAATAAACCTATTTAATCACTTCATACGCTGTGTGGACTCTTTTTTTTTTTTTTATCTTCACTGTGACACGTAAATAAACGTCCACGAGTGTCTACGGAGGGAAACTTTCTGGATCTATTGTCATGTAGAGGTTGAATACACGTCCAGCCAGCGTGAGTTTGAAGAGAGGGTCTGGAGTGTTACTGAGACATTACTCATTAATATTCACGTCTCTGTGTCATATTCTGTAGCATTAGCCATGCTGACGAGTTATAAATAGACATCACTTATCCCCTGTTGTTCGCAGGGTTTAGTTTCATTTGCAGGTTTCCCCGAGCCGTCTCAGCCTCGCGTTACTGCTCGACGACGGTGTTAGGTTCATTTTCAGTTGTTTTAGTGTTGTGGAGGTTTAGAATCAAGTCGGTAAAATCCTCCAACACCAACCACAATAAAACCAGCTGCCTGATTTCATCTACAGTCATCCTCAGATGGATTCAGACCCTTTCATTAAAACAAAAGGCAAAATTTACAATATTCACTCAAATAACTAGAAAGTGAAAAAGTAATAAGACATAAAAATTGTGGTTGAAAACAAAACAGTCCTAGACAAATGAGAGCACTTTGCTGATGAGCAGTGGTCCAGAATACCTGTCAACAGGTGCACAAGTCTGACTGAGAGTTACAGAAACACCTGATGGCAGTGATTGGCTCAGAGGGTTGTTCATTACTTTATGGCTCCCTTCATGCTGGTTTGATTGTTTGTTTTTTTATATTTCTGTTGAGCCACAATTCAAAAGCAACGTCCTGATGTTCATTACGTTTCTATTTATTATTATGTTTGTCAATTTCAACTGAGGGTATGAATACATTTGAGGACGCCTGTAGGTCCCCCTCAGGGTGCCATGCAGCTCTGAATCATGGAGCCTTGGACACATCCTGTCACCAGAACGTAGGCAGGAGGTCCTTTGGTTACTGCAGGTGGAGCCTCCCTGGATCAGGTTCAGTCCAGCACGTCCTTCAGTCAGATTGGGATCTGGGAAGTTTAAAGGCCGGGTCCTTTGTCGTGTCCCTTGAGCCATTCCTGAGCAGTGTTTGTGGTGTGGCGGGTCACATTGTTGGGGATGTGGTGGGTGCGCTTGGTCATGTTGAGGTGGATGCTGCATGTCAAAGGAAGCTCCACGTGGACGCCAGCACTCAGGGTTTCCTAGCAGAACGTTGCACTGTAGCTTCACATGTCTGTGGCTGATCGAGGGACGACATGCTGATGAAGCATCACGTCCGTCTGGCTGGTTTGACAAACAGCTACACTGAGCTGTGTGTTCGGTATCAGAAGGATTAACATGTTTAGTTTGAAAACCTCAGTAGTTTGTTGGATGAGGTTTTAATTTTTTATACAGAAATGTAAATAATAAGAATCATGAAGGATGTGTTGGTATCACTTGACTTGAGGGGAAATAAACAGCAATTAAAGCCAGGGTTTTTCAACATAACGGACTTCCTGTTGGGTTTAGG